TAAGGATGTGCCAATCACTAGCCTCCCTGTGACGCTCCTGTGAATGGCCCAGCAGTCACTCCCAGGGATGGAGACAACAGACCTGGCAACCTCTCTGTTGACAGCTACACTGCAGGGAACCAGCCAGGGCCAGGCAGAAAGGCAGTTCGCTCCACCCCCAAGGCCCAATCTTAAGTCTCAGGGCACACCCCCGCCCCCCTCCCCAGTCTCAAGAATACTCTTGAGCACTGTTTTCAGTATTGAGCTCCACTGCTACCCCATCTATAACTGAAATCTTTCCCCCCCCACCCCCCCTCCACCCCCTGGGGCTGGGGCCAGAGCAGAACAAGGCAGGAGAACAATATTCACTTCTGCAGGGTCCCAGGAGCATCTGTTACTGTTTTCGTGACACTCACTGTATTGGAAGCTCATCAGCAGTTCCCAACCTGAAGGTGGCTGAAAATGTGTGTGGGTGTTTGGATTGTCCAATGGCTGGGAACATGACTGGCATTTAGTAGGTGGGGGCATGGGGTGGGGTGTGGGGTGGGGTTGCCAGACTGGCTGCATTCTCCCAGAGCCCTACACAAGGCAGTATTGTCCCACCCGAAAAGTCATGTTTCACGCAGAGCAGCACATTGTGTTGAGAAGAAACCATTGTCTTTCTCCAAGTAAAACAAAGCACAAACCATACCACTCCCTCTGCCCTTTCTTTTCCCACAAAGCCTCTCCCTGCTTAGATGTATTTGGTCATAAAGAATCCGAGGGGCCAAGGCCAGCACCCTGGTGGTAGCCAGCCCATGTGGGCCTGGCCCTGCTGAGCAGGCGGCCTTCTTACCTGGACGTGTGTGTGTGTGTGTGTGTGTGTGTGTGTGTGTGTGTGTGTGTGTGTGTGTGTGTGTGTGTGTGTGTGTGTGGCACCCAATATCAGGCGGCCTTCTTACCTGGACGTGTGTGTGTGTGTGTGTGTGTGTNCGTGTGTGTGTGTGTGTGTGTGTGTGTGTGTGTACAGAGCACCCAATATCAGGCGGCCTTCTTACCTGGACGTGTGTGTGTGTGTGTGTGTGTGTGTGTGTGTGTACAGAGCACCCAATATCCAGAAACATGTCAAAGCCACCAGCCTTGCTAGCAAAGGGATCAGACAGTTAAGACACACGGCAAGGAGGGCAGACATACTAGAGGGGTGGTGTGCAGGGTTCTCCATGGGCTGGGCCAGCATCCCAGAGAGGGAGCTGGAAAAAATGGTGAGACTGTAACATAGGGGTATACTGTGCCAACCACTTGACACAATGCCCCAAATCTGAATAACGGGGCAGCTAAAAGATAAGGATATATATATAGGAGGGAGTGACATTGGGGCCAGTGTCCTGCTATTAATTAACCAGCTCAGCAATGTCACGGCAGCTGCTGATGGGGGAGGGAGGGACTACGGGGGACTAGACACTGTCACAGTCCTTTTGGAGAGCATTAAGGCAATGTTTTTTATTTTTTCATTAAACAATACATATAGCTCTTAGTAATGTGCAAGGCACTTGTTCTAAGCAATTAATAAATATTAACTCATACAGCCATCTTAGGTATTGTCACCCTGCCCAAAGAACACAGCTAGTAAGAGGCAGAGCAAAGGTTTGCACCCACACAGTCTGGGTCCAGAATCCATACTCTGAACAATAACCCCAAGTTGCTTTTTGATGTGGTAGCTAACAAAAACTTTAAAATTCTGGATATCTTTGACCTAGAACTGTCTTCTGTAAGAATAGGTCTTAAGGCAATAACCAGCATTACCCAGGAAGAATTCATAGATGAGAACGGTAAAAGCTGGGAACCACCATAAACGGAGAATGATTTAGACATCATGACACACTACGGAGCAGGCAAAAAACGTTTGTGAATTCCTCCTACCATGCCACCTTCCAACATACCCGCAACTGCACTCAGGCATGCAGGAGAAAAATGCTGCAGGCTGGCACCAGGACTGTGCTAAGGCACATTCATATCCTTAGATCTTTAAACCCAAACATTATGTACTTACTAGTCCCATTTCATAGATGAACAAAGTAAGGGCCAGAAGGCAGATAAAGAATCCCCCCAGTCAGAGTAAGTGGCAAATTTCATTTTAGAATCCTCATCACTGATGGCTCTTTCCATATTAATTCACTACCTCAATAAACTCATGAAGGGGCCTTTTCTACTTAAGCGTGCCCCACCCTGCCTCTGAGCAAACCACTATCAAGACTTGCCTTCAGTACATGAATTTCTCCCTTCAAAAGTCAAAATAATTTTACCTCTTTTAAAACACTTCTATGATACTATGCTGCAGGTACCAAAAATATCAGATACTGAGGGACCATAATCTGCTATGAAAATCAGCCCTTACTTGTCAACTGTAATTTTATATATATATATATATATATATATATATATATATATATATATATATATATATATATATATATATAGTCACAGGATGTCGGTACAGCATAGAGACTAATCAGTGGAATCGTTAACAGCTATATACAATGTCAGAGGGGCGGTAGATTGGGGGAGGGGAGTTATCGCTTTGTGAGGGGTGAGATGTCTAACTATTACATTGTTTTGGACACCTGAAACTAATAAAAAAATATCAGCCTTTACCTAATTATCTAAAAAAAGTTCTTAAACGTATGAAAAAATTAACTTATTGAAAGGTTATGTGCCAGATACTGTTTTAATCCCTTTACATGTATTATCTAATTTAATTCTTATACTTATTAAGATAGGATTTTTTTAAAGGTTTTATTGGAGAATTGGGGCGGGGAACAGCATTGGGGAATCGGGAACAGACAAGTTGCTGTCCTTTTGTTCTTCAGTCTAGTTGTAGAGGACATCGCTTCACTGGCCCATGTTGGTATTATCATTGAGCTCTTCCTGGGTGAGGCAGTCGCTTGCTGGCCATTGGATGGCGGCTCATGAAAGCGCACCCCAGCTGCCAGCCAGCCCCACTGCAGCCTACGCCCAGGTCAGCGACTCACGGCAGCCCAGCTCCAGGACGAGCTGTTGATCACCATCTTGGCTGTAGAGGGTGCAGTGTCACTGGCCCTAATGTGGGATCCGAGCCGGGGCCCTATTGCTCAGAGCTAGCATCCCAAGCCAACTCTTAAATCATGCACCACTCGGCCGGCCCAGGAATTTTTTTTATTCCCATTTTAATTGAAAAAAGAGGGGTTTAGGAACTGTCCATGTGACAGATGGGCATTGGACAGTGTGGGAGACAAAACAGGAAAGCAAGTATCTATAGGGCCAGGGGCCTCAGAGGCTTGTCACCCCCACTGCACAGCCCTGGAAGGCATAGCTTTTCCCAGGGGAAACACACACCTCACGAATTTCATCCAAAGCCTGGTAAGCTTCAGGGCCTTGCTGCCAAGCCTGCCCCCTTCACAGGACTCATGTACTTCGAGCTGCTTGGCCCACACCAACCAACCGAGCTCCTGTTGGTCCCAGGAGGGTACACTAGCCAGCCAGCACTGGCCTCATGGTAAACCATGGAGGGGCAGGTAGATGCCGCAGCTTTCAACAAGGCCCGCAAATCCCAATCTGGTGGTATAAGTTTGGACATGGGTGAAAAGACAGGTCCCTTTGGTTTTAGAAAACTCGTATCTGAGCATGAATCAAAGCTAAGTTCCTTGAGGGACAGGACAGCATGTCTTAAGAACAAGCTCCTGTCCTAGACACAACCTCTGCGTGATGGCTTGGGCCTTGGGTCTTCAGAATTTTGCCCTGAGACCATCAAGAGGGATGGCAGGTAAACAGCACTGCGGATAGCATCCTGAGTTCAGGGCTCGAGCACCTGTCCTTTCACCCAGCACTTTGATCTTGGCTTTGGCAGGTAAAATGAAGGGATTACAGTCTCTGACCTACAAGACTCCAAGGGCCTGATTGATGTGTCTTTGCTTCCAGAAAGTCAAACCTTTGCATCATTGAAGCTGGTGGTGGGTGTGTACGGAATGACTTCATAACAGTGGCCCCCTCACTCGCTTGTCGTCTTATCCTGGGGAAAGTGTTATGGACTGACCTGTATCCCCCCGATTCTTAAATTCAACCCCTAATGCCCAATACCTCAGCATGTGACTGTATTTGGAAGTGGGGCCTTTAAAGAGGTGACTAAGTTAAAATGAGGGCACTAAGTGGGTGGGCCCTGTCAATTTGACTGGTCTGACAATTAAGTGTGAGAACTTGTTGCAATGATGTTGCTAACCTTTTTTAATATTAGAGGGATTATTCATTATGAATTTGTACCAACTGGACAACAGTTAACCAAGTTTACTATTTGGAAGTGCTGAAAGGCTTGAAAAGTGCTGAAAAAGTTAAATGACCTGAACTTTTCACCAACAATTCATGGCTCTTGCATCACAATGTACCAGCTCACAAGGCACTGTCTGTGAGGGAGTTTTTAGCCAGTAAACAAGTAACTATTGGAACACCCTCCGTACTCACCTGATCTGGCACCCAGTGACTTATTTCTTTACCCAAAGATAAAAGAAATATTGAAAGGAAGACATTTTGATGACATTCAGGACATCAAGGGTAATAGACGACAGCTCTAATGAGCATTCCAGAAAGAGTTCCAAAATTGCTTTGAAGGGTGGACTGGGCACTGGCATCGGTGCATAGCTTCCCAAGGGGAGTACTTCGAAGGTGACTGTAGTAATATTCAACAATGAGGTATGTAGCACTTTTTTTAGGACGAGTTCACGAACTTAATTGTCAGACTGCGTAAGAAAAGGAGCTGAGGGTGCACAGAGGGAACACCAGGGACTGGAGGGTACAGACAAAAGGCCAAGAGAGGCAAAAGAAACCAACCCCGCTGACAACTTCATCCGGGACTTCCAGCCCCAAAACTGTCAGAAAATAATTTTTTTTAAGTCTCCCAGTCTGAAATATTTTGCTTTTGCAACCCTGGCAAATGAATACTGAAGATTACATCTGCTTTATATTTTAACTACTGCCTCCCACGATTCAGAATGGACAGTCAGTGAACAGAGTCATTTGGTTAATACTTTTAATTACATGAGAGTAATTATACAATTTCCATTATTCAGTATTTTGTATAAAACCAGGTACAACGCACACGATTTTCGAATGCAACAATAAGTATCAAACTACATACATATGCAAAGTTTACAGGCCATTGTGAAACTTTATCTTAAAAATACCTTCAGGAAAATAAACATTCATTCAATCAGTTCTCTCAGCTTTATAAAATATGATTAGAAATATACATTTTAATTTAAAAAAATCAAGACAATGATCAAAAACTGATTAATCAGTTACATTTAAAAACTTAATCTGTACATGAGTGCAGGTTAGATAAAAGTCTGCAAATTATTAATATAAAACTGCAGTACTATAATCAGATGAACATATCTGCTGACATTTACTCCCACTAAGCAATTAAAGAGGTAATTTCCTACACAGTATAGGTGAACTGTTCAGTCTTCTAAATACATCTGTAGTATTTCCACGGAGCGACACGGAGAATACTCAGATTTAGGAGAAATAGAAGAGCAGCAGCTAGCCTCTCAAGGACAGTTTCAGTGGGGGATAGCTATTAAAGAATTAAAATACGTTTTTAAAGTTGTTTGTGATGAACACTGCTTTCCAAAATGCAGTAATTACTTTTAAAAATGCATGAAGAGAAGCTGTTAAACTACTTTTAGAACCAACATCAGAAGGGTGCATCACTCATGTGTCAGAAACAGTTGATTCAAGCTAAGGAAAGGTTCCCGGAGCTCTTGGCACACTGCCCAGACGCCAGAGGGTCCGCGCGGCTCTCCAAGCCCGGGGATCAGGCTCCCAAGGGAAACACCTTCACTGGGTGACAACACTGGGGAACTCCTCTAAAACTTGTCTGGGCACAAGAAGAGAGGTAGAAATCACCCCTGAGAGGGGGAGGAGGGCAGAGGAGGAAGTGGGTGGGTGATGAGCTGAGGGAGTCAAGTTTGGAACAGAGCAATTGCAGAGACTAGGACAGCTGCGTGTCAATGGGAAGCAGCGGACACTTGACAAGTAAGGCTACTTGCTTCAGTGAGGCACTGCTCAGGGTTGGCCCCATTCGCTGATTGGTCAGAGATTCCTAGCTTTTCTTCAGCAACACAACGCACAAGTCTGTCTACACCTCTAGGTACCCAGTTGTGCAGACACCCTTCCTTTGAACTATCCCTAACTCTTAACCTGAGTCCCCACAAAGCTTCAAGGGCACCCAAAAATATTCATTTCTAACTTTAATTCCAATGGAAACTGTCACGGTGTATTTTCAAAGCTATTTAAGGATCTTAAGTTAAAGGAATCTCTCCATCTGACGTGCCCTATTTCATATTCCACAGCAATGAGGTCTTCTGTGACAAAGACTCGAAATTAGAATCTCAGAAGATTCTGGGTGTGTTGAAGGTTTAGCCAAGGGGTGGTGGTGGTGAGGTCCCTCTTATTCATAGCAGGAAGAACTTTCCATCAGTTTGACCCAGAGACTTCCTGGATTCTAGATATGTCCCCCATAAGTTTAACACTGTGCTGTGTCCTTTGTGTGTTTCCAAGAAATGATTCTTTATGAAATCACTAATTTCCTATGACTAATTTCAGGAACAAGCCTGGTGTATACCGGGATGCTTAGAAAAAGCCACAGTGATAGCAATTCTAGCTGGAAATGTGAGCATCCAACACAGAAAGGCAATTTGTAAAATAAAAAGCACTATGGTTAACACACTGAAGCCTCAATTTTTCGCTCTTGGCCAAGACACCCAATCAATGGCTTATTTGCTGGGAGGGGAGAGCATATTTACTTGTTCTGACATAATAAAAAGCCAAAGCAAGGACGGTTCAGATGGAAATCTGATTTTCACAGCTACCTGAATTACTTATGCAGGAGATGGCCTTTAAGAGTCTAAAGGGAGGAAGAGCTGTCCTGAGAATTCTACACTTTATGCCTGGGCAGTGTGAATATTTAATACTGTCTCCCAACACAATGCAGCAAATGGAATGTTTCTCCTCCCACCCAAAGCTTATTGAAAAGCGGTCTTCCAAACAGGAAGTCTGTCCTTGCGCCTATGAACTCCCAGGGACAGAAAAGCAATGGTTTTCTGAGACCTAGTCCCCAATATATAGAAGCTGGCATGGCCCCAACCCTCAGTGCCTGATGGGGAAAGCTGCTCATTTGGCCAAAACAATGGCATCTTCCATCTCCCCTCAAAGCTGGTCAAACTTACAATTACTCCAAGAGAGTAAATACCAAAATGGAGCCAAGGCTTCCAATTATTTTTGCATTAACAGACCTTAATCTGTTTATTCCAAGCGCTTCTTATTCCTCAATTTTGCTTCAAAAGCAGCTTTTCAAAGTGGAATTGCATACTGACCCCATTCATCGATCCTGTAATGTAAAGGCTTTCTGCCTTTCAACACTGTATCCCCCCCCTTCTCCAAACCAGGATAGGCCAACACTGCTTAGCAATAACTAAAACCATTCACTTCTTACAGAAATCACCAAGATGATTGCAAAATAGTCTTTATTTTGGGCCCCACTTTTTTTTTTTTTTAGCAGCAAATAAACTGTTTTTATGATTGCTTTACATCACAGACATACTCTGCTATGTTTCTGTAGGGGGGAGGGGAGAAGGCACTCTACAAAGAGTTTATTCCCTAACCAAAGGCAACAGTGAGTGTCTTATTTACAAACAGCTGAAATCCAGAGGTGAATAACCGTCACTGAAGTTAACAGTGACTTTTTAAAAAAAGTCCACAACGCTACAAAGAAAGACCCTAAAAAAACAGTAAGTGTTTTTTATAAGCCACCATTATTTGGAACCACTGTTTCCAAGGGGAAACACCAAAAGTGTGGGGTTTTTTTCAGCATGGAAGGAAATAGGAATTCGTCAGTCCTGAAGTGACACAGAAAGGAATGACTTCCAACCATCGCCCAACTCTGAAGTCAGTCCTCCTCCTGAGTCTTCGAAAGCTACTAGTGATACTCTCCTGCAAGCTGTAGGTTACCAGCGTACCTACCACTTTTTGTCACAAAATCCAAGTCTCCAAAGGTGGTTTTCACAGAGTCATGTTAATAAAGCACTCTTTGGTGGAAGACAAACAGCTTGGGTACTTAACAGAGTTAACGTTACAACAATATTACAAATATTAAAGTGAAGATGGTTACACCAAATAGTATCAAATTACAGAAAGTACCATTTCAGTAATGCCTGTTTTAGCTTTATAAATTTTGACACAGGGCAAACAGAAAATAAATAGGTAAAAAACCTCCATCAGATCCTCAATTCTTCTGAAGGCCAGCAGCTAAAATGATTGCCACCACAGGGACACACATGCACCACACAGAGTGGCCAGCCCTCCTGAGAACAAAGGGCTTTGATATTTACACCTGAGACTAAATTTACAACAGCTCTTTTGTTGTTCAACTTGAGACACTTCTACAAAAGGAGAGTTGGGCCATCTTCCAAGTCCTCACTGGTACCCAAACTCGTGTAGTTACTTAAACTCCAGTGGACATTTTCTTCATCGAATAAACTTCTTAGGTGGAAAGCAGCTAAGGCTTTTGCAATTTTGTTTTGTTTCCAAATAAACTGTGCTAAGTCCTGTTGTAGTTTTCTGTTCCTAGAGTCTTCCTTCAGTGCTGGTCACAGTTTTTACTTAAAGCAAGACTGTTTTAGTCCTTGAAATGGAGGGACTACGGGGGAAAAGAAAAAGGATTTTACCACGAAGGCTTTCAAGTGTCCCATATGTAGTTATCAAAGACAAGGAAGGCAACATAATAAAAAATACTGACATGCTAAAAAGTATACATTTTGTGTAATTCTTTAATGACAAATACTTGGGAAAGGACAGTACATAGTCAACCATAAAGACAAACAGGAGAGAAAGACAGAGCAGAAAAAGGTTCAGTTCTGCAAAAAATAAAAATAAATAAAAATAAAAAACAATAAAAAAAAGGAGGGAGGGTAGAGAAGCAGCCGAGCAATGAGAATACCATAATGCCATTAAGGGCATTTGCTGCAAAGCATTCCTTTTCCTTCTTTCCCTCTGAGGAACCAGGCTGTGGGAAAAGTGGAAAGAATGAAAAGATAAAGAAGTGTTACTTGATTATTTCCAAAGCCAGAAGTCGGTCACAGAAAAAGCTCTGGCACCTCAAGCAGTTTCCAGTTTAGCAGCGTGCAAATGTCACCTGCGCCTGGTCGCCTGGCTCCACACTCGCTGAGCAGCCACAAGGGGCCGCCTGCTGCCAACACCCAACCCGGGAGGAGGGCGGGCAGCACCCAGGGAAGAGGCCCCAAGAACACCTGTTCGTTCCTAAGTAACCGCCCTTGACTAATCCTCACCCCAACGCCCTTGTTTCCTTCATTACATTCCACTTTTAACTACACAGCAACTTTCAGAGAAAAACCAAAGCCAAAGAAAAGGGTCAGAAAAACCAATTCCAATCTGGAAGTGGCCCTGACTTGGATGAGGATGATGACGCTCTATCAGAGCAGCTCATCTAACTTCATCATGTAGTTTTCGGAGACCTCAACAGAGTATGGAGTTTAAAGGTCCAAGTCAGTAGGCAAGTGGGGAAATATCTGGAATTTCAAAGGGGGATTAATATTTTAAAGATCCAAGGTAACCAGCATTAAAAAAAAAAAGAAATTTAGATACAACATTCTGAGGTTTCTACAGACTGATATCCTTTTGGAGATAATGACAATAACAAAAAAACCCCAGAGGTGATGGAACAGACACTGAGATCTGAGACTAAGGGACAAGAAGCAGTGACAGAGATGATGATGACAAGAATCACAAATGAGAAGAACTTAAAAAGTCCTAAATGTAGCTACTCCCAACTGAAGGGCTCGTGAAGAGACTCAGGGTTTCAGAGGCTGAGGAATGAGCCTCACGATACGAATAATTAGCCCAAAGCGATGAACCCTGGGCTGCTTTGCCAGGCGGAGCAGATGGGTCCCAACAATGCAACTTGGAATGAAAGTCTCTTGTGCATGACAGTTTTCTTAGAAAATGGATGAAGTTATAATTAAAAAAAAAAAGACTGCCACAAAGAAAGAGCAGAAGCTGACAGAACTCGTACTCAATGGGTGAGCTGTGTACAGACAGGAACAGAATGATATCAAAGAGGTAGGTGGCTGAATGTTCTCAATCGGAGGAACAATGATGACATTTTCAAGACTCGTTCTAAGAGAGCTCTTCAGAGAGAACACTGAAAAACAGGCCGATTCTTCACTGAATTTACTAATTCTTAACAGAGAAAAACAGGTCTCTAGCTCTAACAGAAAGTGGGAAGTGTAGAAGCCCGTTAATTTGCTTCTGCCAAATTAACGGGAAAGGGGATGTAGAAAGTACCACATGAATCGTCCTGGCACTGAGGGTCAGCTGTGTCCCATCCACCACGACACACTCCACAGCCTGAACTGCTGCAGCTGCTAGTCTTATGTGAGACTGTCACACAAGACTGAGGTTTATGTGGCTTACATTCAATGGATACATGAGGGAATAACCATCTGCCATGAGAGAAAAATGGTGGCATTTTTTCCCAATAAATGCTTATGAGAATACTCATATTTTTTCAGTCGCCAAATATTTGCTCTTTTAACGTGTATGTGAAAAAATTCTCCAAAGCTGCAAAGCCTTTCAGTAAACTGTCAAAAATCAAAAGAGCCGTACCAGTGGAAAGTGAGGTGTAGGTGAGGTCTTCATCCCGGAAGCCTCTAAGAATAGAACAGAGCATGGAAATGAAAGGTCAAGTTCCTACAGCACGACAGAGATGACGACGAGGACGTGTGAACAACATAAACCTGCAAAAGAGAAGGCTTCACACATAGGAAGCAGCAGACTGGCAACTCAGGCACCCTGAAAGTACTTACAAACATCCACTGAAAGGATGTACTTTCTTTCTGTATTGTTGTATAAAGAAAAGAGTTCTAGTCAATACTTTAAAATTACTCAATAATCTCAGTTCATATTGTTTGGTACTGAATGAGATTATGCACAAATGTGTTAATTCCTTCATCACTCTCCAACCAAAAATGAGTACTTTTCAGTAAGAGAAAAGCTTTAGACTACAGCTTGGCTGCCCTGACTCCCATTATCTCCCAGAAGCAGGGAGTGGGACATATACATAACGTATTTGTCTTTCTTTTGTGAGCGATAGGTGGCTCACCAGCTGACGGGAACACAGGGCAAAGCCCGGGAAGGCGAAGGAGACCTTCATGGAGTGGGGTGGAGGCGGGTAAATACACGGTAAAACCCAGTTAACTATCACTAGTTTATTTCTTTGCCCCTCCCAATCTCTGAAAGTCTATTTTGGAAATTTAAAAGGAGCGTTTTTGCTATTCAGCCCATCCCCAATGCCTGGAAACTGCTTTGGGCCGTTTTAGTATTTAGTCAACATATTCAGTCTGAACTCGACTTTAGACCCCTCAGAGCGTCTGGTCCAGGGAGGGACCTCAGGCAGATGCACACTGCCATCAGGAATCACCTCGGCCAAGAAGCACAAGTTTAGATCACTAGACAAGACCTAGATGGAAAAACTGTCGCACAGTCACACCCCTCAGAGGAACAGGGCATGACTGGGCATACCCAGCCCAGTTCCTGGACTCTACTCCTCTGAAACCTGAAGAGCACAATCCAAAAAAGCAGAAAGCAGGTTAGATGTGCAAGACACACTCGACTGTAATGGAAGCCTGATCGAGTTATACCTAAAAAGAATATCTCAATTCAAAATATGTCTATCACTAACAGCATTTTTTGAATTTTTAATTCACCCAAAAGTGTGAAAATTCAAATACTCCCATTTTGTCCCTTTAATTGTAGAAAATTTGGGGCAAAAAAGAAAATGAGAGGGCCGGCCGAGTGGCTCAGTTGGTTAAGAGCTCACTCAAGAGTGCAAGTTCTGAGCAACAGGGTTGCCAGTTCGATTCATGGCCTGAGCTGAGCTGCCAGGCAGGATGGCTCAGCTAAAAGAAAATGATAATAAAAAGAGAAATCCCCATCTGCCCTACCAATCAGCACTGTTAATATTATGGCATATTTTCCTTTAATTTATTTCTATACATATATGGAAATATATACATCTATAAATATTTATAAGGATAAATATTTATATATCTACACATTTCTACACACATATATAAAGTATATTGTACATTTTAAAAAATTCTAGTAATACTTCATTATTTTATATGTAGTTCTTTTCATTTATTGCTTCATGAACATTTATCCAGATCATTAAAGTATCTTTAAAAACATGACTGGATTCATTTGGCATAATTCATCAATCTTCAGACCATTTCCTCTTTCTCACTGTTATAAATACCATTCTGGTTTTATGTTACAATATACTTAAATCTTTGCTTTCGGTAGGTATTTCTCTGTCATTCTTCTCAAGTAAAATTAGTATGAATATTTGATACCTTTCTAATGAAAAATTTTAAATCCTAAAATCCTAAGTCAGTACCCAATTCTCAAATACTTGTGCTGGGGCACGGTCACATTCTCATACAAGTAAAAGTTATGCAGTAAAATTGTGCAAAAGAATCAGCAAAAAGGAAAAACTGCAGAGCCGAACGATTCCTTAAAAAAGCAAAACACACGGGGTTCTCCAATTTGTCAGTCTCAGGACACAGGCTGCAGTGGGACTGCACCAGACTCACTCAACCCTGAAGATGGGCGCCTCGGGCCCCAACCTCAAAGATATGCGGGCAGGAGAATTAAAAATAAGGAAGGAAATTTGTGAAGGACGTTTTAAGGTCTAGGTGGGGTTATCCTCAGGCATTTGTGGTCCACTGTAACAGATACGCTATGCCTGAGTGCAGTACCGCCTATGGGACTGCACGGGTTGCCACCTCCATGCAAAGACACACAAACATGAATAGGGGGCCTTCCTTCAACTCCTGAGATGACAGCATGTGGGGTTATCTGCTCTTCCCTCAAAAGGGATCTGTTATTAGAATACAGACCGTGTGCCTGCAGTTCATGACAAACATCCAAAGACAATAGTGAGTAAAGGATTTGGTCATAGAACGTGTCCATTTCTTGTCAAAGCCTGTATTAATGAAGGAAGTGAAAGGTGCTGGGCTCAGAGTCAAAGAATGAGCCCCTTGGGTGTGGGCTGTGGCTGAGAACACAGTGCCTAGGTAAAGAAGGATGGCAAACTCACTGAAGTTTGCATATTTCCACCATTACACTTATTTGCAGCGAATTCTCCAACAATTATGCTGTATCTGATACACAGAAAAGTTTCCTCCAACTCCTGATAGCTTTGGAAATTCTTAATTAAGAACTTATATACATAACATTCTCAACTTTCCCATATTATGACCCAGAGACCACATTTCCAGTGTTGAGCATCATCTCTGAAAAACAAAACTAAACAAAAGCCTATGTTAAAATGGTCCAGATTTTCTTAGACGATGAACAAGTCAAACACATTGGATGAATTTCCCATCACAGGGACTCTGCCTTTTTCTATCTTCAGTTCTAGCTCCAGAAGATTAAACTGGAAGGAAAACCAATGCTTAGAACTTTTCAGAAGAGTAGGATTCATTTCTCACCTTTTGAAACTGCTTTTTCTTGAAGCAGATCTGGTGGTTCTTTTAGTAATTCCTGCACTGCCAGAAATGTTAGGTTCAGATGTTTTACAGCTCTGAACACTGGACTGAAGAATTACTCTGAAAACAGTTGGAAAAAAATAAGATTATATTCACTGAAACAATTTCCAAACACTTGACAGAGGAAGGCATTTCTGCACTTTAGTGCAAATTAGTTTATTGGAAATTAATAGGATTTTCCATTAACACATTTGCCAAAACCTGAAACACACTTTTACATCAAGGTCCTTTGAAATAAAGCATCTCATTTCTCTAGGAAGGTCACACAAATATAATCAGAGGACTTTGCTTTTGGAAAACAAATTCCCACACCAAAGAAATCAATCAGTAAAACAAATCTTTGTGTCCCAAGTAAAAGCAGATTCTCAGAATTCCAGTCATGAAAACAAGAAATCATTTAAAACACCAAATTCTAAAGAATGTGAATATAAATACCTCTACAATATTCACTCCTCAGAGCTGAGAGTATGGGCAATAAACCTGAGTCAATACCAATTGCATATAACATTTCAAATTTTAAAAATGTGTTCAAAGGGCGGCCAATTAGCTCAGATGGTTTGAGCACAAGCTCTTAACACCAAGGTTGCCGATTCAATCCCCGCATGGGCCACTCACTAAGTTGTGCCCTCCACAAATAGATTGAAAGAACTACTTGACTTGGAGCTGATGGGTCCTGGAAAAAACACACTGTTCCCCAATTTAAAAAAAAGAAAGAAAGAAAAATACTTATATATATAAAAAAATGTGTTCAAGCAAAATTCGAGTTTTGTCTTGATTACAACTACTTACTAACTCACGAAGTACCATTAACAAGAAAGTGAAACTGCTTAAATTCTGTGAAACTTGATTTAACTGAACTGTAAAAATCTCAAGGAATTGATGCCTCTGGGAGTAAACTGCCCAGGAGGCAAATTCATGAATCAGAAATAACACCCTGAGATTAAGCCCACACAGAATACCCTATTCATAAGTAGAAGGTGTTTTTAAATGCCTCATTTGATTGTCACAGGGAGAACAGCAGAAGACATGAAAAGATTTTATATGCAATTCTTTTTTCAAGAGATAATAAAACACTGAACTGTATGCACACACATTTATACATATATGCTCAACTTTTATTCATCTGTGAGAGAAAACTCTGACTTAAAAAAGCTTCCTCCTCTCATATCCAAACATAAAAGTGAGACAGCCTATAACAACGTCCTTGAACTCAGCTCCTAAGAGTAAAAAAGAAACCACAGCAGCAAACTAGGAATCCTACCTCCTTCCTATGCCTGCATTACCACCATGTTAGTGCGCAACCAAAGCCAGGTCCTTAAAATATAGTATAGATTAGTAAATTCATATAATCTTAGTATTACCCAAAGCACAGTATAGTCAGTCAACATTTAGTAAAAGGCTAACTTCTCATCACTAAAAACAAAAACCAACCAAACAAAAAACCAATGGGTTGTATTGTACCAGAGCAGAGGTCTGGAGTGCAGGTCTGTGGTTTTCAAGCTGTTTGGGGAAGAAAGGGGGGAGGGCTGAAGGAGGGGCTGCTATCCCAACTGTTTTGCTTTATTCCTGGAGTATTTCTGGAAGCCTCAAGAAACAGGCGTTCCATCTCACAGAGAGAAACTGATCTTGGGTAAATGAGCCAATGCTTGCTTCAGGATTTCTCATAAAGTTTTATCACCCTAAATGTTGAATGGTCTAACAATAGAAAAAGTATATTCAGACACAGTTGTGTGATTAAGACACCAACTGCCCTGGCATGTGAAGTCTACTCCTGAAAAAAAAGCATTTATTTTAAAATTCTTATTATCCAATGTGAGGGTGAGATATTTAGTAGTTTTTGGTAAGGATCTGAATCTAGAATTTCTCATCAAGTAAAACGTAACAACAACAAAACCAACCACGATGCATCCACTGCCACTTCTGAAGTCCAAGCCCAGAGTTTGGGGCTGCCACCATTGTCTGGAGGCCTTTTACCTGCTGGGCAAGGCTCCAGGTTTTTATCTTCTTCGTTTTTAAATATGGAGAAAAGGAGACTCCTATGGCTTTTTTTGAAATGCCACACCTACTTTTCAAATGAGGCCACTTACTGCTAAAAGTATAGACAGACAACTGCCACACTGTAAAATCATTAACATAAGGAAAAACAAGAACCAATACATTTCCTGCTTAGGAAATTCAAGGCCTGATTTCCTCAATTAACTATAACTACAATGTTTAAATACTATTCAAGACAAGAAATTACTGCTAAAATCAAATTTTAGACTGACAGAAAACATCTTCTTTAAAGATCAGTAAAATTAGTGTAAATAAAAATGTGACTAATATAATAGCTAATAATTTACATGGAACTTTGAAAATAAGAGCATGATAGACCTTTGGAATGTATGAATCACACCAGTAAAGATTCAGTTTACCAGTTATTTGCATTAACAGCAGTCATTACATCTGTAGGTTATGCATCAATAAAGTGGAAAATGTCCAGCAACTACACTTAGGTATTACCTGTGATATCCTATAAGTAACACCTGATAAGGCGGGATAAGCTGGCAGCGTGTGAAGTTTCCACTCTGCTACCGGGTAGGTGGTAATAACCACCTCCCACCTTGCAAACCAGGCCAATGACATGGCTTTGCAAAGCAATATTCAGCATATGGATTTTCTCCTTTCCATCTTTCCCTGGCAGAATCCGCAGTCCTACTTTTTTATCTCTTCTCCACAGTATCTTCTGAGCCCCAGTGCTCTCAGATTTCGGACACAATGTTACCTGCAACTTGAGGCATACAGCAAAGCAAAAACTGAGAAGCCAGGTCCTCTTTCCTATCAAGCCACAAAATGCTTTGAACATATATGTTCAATTCCAAAAAGAATACATATCAGTACACTATTTACCCTGGTTGTTGACCACTGACACAAAACGTGCTTTCAAAATCATGGGCCTGAGACCCTGCGACCTCCAGATGTGCCTTTCCCACTGAGTCTGACACAGCAATCTGAAGTGTCGCTATAGTCCAGTTCTCCCGGCGCACCCTGTAACAACCTACCAGGCGATGCTGCGTCATCAGCCCATAGAGATGAATGCCAACAACAGTGCTCACAAGTAATCACCTCAAAAGACAACTACAAGGATTATACCTGTTTACATTACTCTTACTGTTGAAAGCTTTTGTTTCCGTAAATTCCAAATTAATCAGTCAGGCTAAAATGAATGCTGTGCTTTGGGTCTAATGCAATGGCACATGTCAGTAATAATGACAACATCTTACACAGAATAGTAAAAAGAGCCTGATGGCAAGCCCACTGAAAACTTCTCCTGGGAAAAATACTACAACCACGAAGCACCTAAGTATCATTAGCAATGCCTCCACCCATTTAGAACTCCACCTACTCGAGATAGCTTTGCCACTGGAATTAGTCTGAAAAGAATAAATCTATGCAGTACATGACGCCCTTGAGTCAGAATATGTGGAAACGTAAGCTTACTAAGAGAAGTCAAGGAAAAACCACCTAAAAGGATAATCTATATCATAAATACAGCATATCTGCCTATGGAATAAGTTTGTAATTAACATTTAAGAAAATGTCATAAATACAAACATGTTAAGCAGCTTTTCCTTGATTTTGATAAGAAGAATGGAGTCTGCTAGATTTTACAATCTTTTCTAGCCATATGAAGACACTCAATGAAACCACAAAGCACTCGAGTTGGTTGCCACGGAATTTTACTTTGGAGGGGGTCCTAGAAGAACTTTCATATTTCTTTATAAAACTCCCAAGCCCAAATTGGAACAAGAAAAGAAATTCTTGAAATATAAGCTAAAGAAAAAATGTCAGAGAAAAAAGAATGCAGCCTAGACATGAGAGGGCAGCAGTCAAACGTAGCCTCCAGGGTGCACCCTCCTTTCCGTGCTCTTGGCCTTAACTCTGGGATGTTCCCCAGTTAAGCTTCTTGCAGGGAAACGACAGTCTCCTGCAGAAAAGAAGTCTCTCCACTGTTGAGGTTATGAGGAAGGATGAAAGGCGTAACGAGAACACAAATGCTGTCTATGTCAACCTAACAGAGGCCTTCTGGTTACTTTTGGGAAAGAAGGAAAGTGGGAGTGAGTGAGGGGCAGTGAGAATCACGCAGAAACACAAACAGAAACAAAGGACTCCAGTCTTCTCTGCTTTCCTATTTTTGTTGAACATCAAGTTTTGAAAATTTTATATAACTGTTAAGGGGGAAGAAGTGAAATGAGACAGAAAATTCTGCAAACTCGAGACAGGAGGCTTCCTCAGGGAGCAGCGCCTGGCGGGAGCACGCTGTGTACAATGGCAGGACCAGAGGTGAAATGGGGCCCCACATTCACTAGGACACCTGGCTACAAAGCCAAATCTTTACGAACAGCAGAAAATCTGTGGGAAAGTCATTTTTGCTAGACTGGAAAGACTATACTAAAGATATTCACTCTAGAAAACTAGAGGAAAGTTGTAAAGCCAATTGATGGAAAGAAAACTACCCCAATTATCCCAAACTACATATTCTTGATAGGGAAAAGGAGCTAGTTCAGTGTCTTTTTAAACTATTTCAAAAAAATCTGTTAAGAGTAGGTACAACTTAAAAGCTGAGTGTGTTGTTTTTAATACCCCTTGTATGAAAAGAACAGTGAAGACCTCCCTCCCACCACCCCATTAACTGACAAGTTTTGGAAAAAGAACTTCTAGAAGCAGGCAAACCAACAAAGCCAGGAGAGCTGACAGTAAGAAAGACATGCATCGTGAGGCACACACTGGACACCAGAGGCGAGCGGGCACTCATAGAGAATGGGAATGGGGACACTTACACAACAGCTATTTGTCAAAGGGTCCTGATGGCTACTGTGTTCTTAACCCATCGAGACACAATAGCAGGATGGGGAGAATGTAGTCACAAACAATCCACCAGATGACAACACTACACAGTGCAGAGGTCAGCACAGCTAGGGAACATCTGGAAAGAGGTGAAGGGGAAAGAACAGATGTTCAAATTATGAAGCCAAAATAAATAAAATAATAAACAAATAAAGCCACATGTGAATTTTAGACGCCCAGTGATGCAAAGTGGCAGGAAACATGGATGGAGTTTTGTCATTTTATGTTGAGGGGGGGAAATGCTGTCTTCAGTGTTACAATGATTTGATATTTGGTAACAAAAGATCAGACCCAATCTCTAATGGGAGAACAGCCTCTATTTGATTTAATTGTATGATACAGAAAAATCAGAGTCATTGTTACAGGATTAACATTCTTTAAAAAGCACAAGATATGCATAGAAAACTAAACCAAACCAGAGAGAAAAAAGGAGGCAAAGCCAATCAAACAAAAAGGCCCTGGACTGAGAGCTAACAACTATCCCTTCGGAGGCATGATTGTAACGGGACAGAGCACAGCAGAACTCATCACACTGCAACGGAGCCATAAACGATATCACCAGAAGTTTAGACAAACTGCATATTCTGAAAACAAGAGTCACAGAAGCAAAGCCAACCCCATGCGACACAAAATGAGAAACATTTCCCTTATGTATTATTAATACAGGAAATCCTCACTTAACATCCATGATGGTTCCACGACTTGAGGCAATACAATGTATAACAACACCAATTTGACCACAGGCTAATTGACATTAACAAGAGTTAATTTCCTATGGCATCCCATCAATGTTATAATGAAATGATGTTACTTGAGGACCTGCTGTACTATATATGTTATATATATATAACATATATGTATATATGTTATATATATAAATAACATATATCTATATATGTTATCTCTTTAGTCGTTTTCCTCAGTCATCTTCCTCAACCAAACTTGGCTTTCAGCTTTGTGGTGCTTAATCCACCGTCTAGCTTCCAGCAGTGAGAAAGGAACCCATCTCAGGTTGGAAGGGTGGTCAACTCCTTCCAACTACTATGCTTCCAGTGGTCACTCAGACACATCCGGAACCCAGTACAAAAGGCTCTGCTGAGCATTTGCTTTGTGCAAAGTACTGATCTGATCAAGTCAGAAATGAATGATTTGGCTTACAATGTATGTCATCTTTTGTCACTGTCATCTTAATCACTGAACACTGTGTGCCGGGCACAGGCACCCTATACGGTGACGGGGATTACACTAAAGGGTGGGCCTGAAATCAAATCCAACCTACGCCATCTCATTTACTCCATCCACAAAAAACCCCAAATCTACTATTATATGTTAAGATTACAGGTGCTTAATATTGATACAGAATGTAGTAAATGACCTAGAAATGCTACAGAACTCTCTATCCAACCCCATTTTCATTTGCAGCTGTGGGTTTAACTAATCTTCAAGACAGAATGGTCTGAACATCCAGATGTCTGCATTACAGATTTTTATTTGTTCCTCTAGTTAAAGCTCATGGCTTTAGTTTCCAAAGTACAGTACTACACAGTACTACACTGTACTGGTCAGGGGGGTGGGAGGGATTTCCAAGGCTCATTATATCTTTATTTGTACCTATTCCCATTTGGGTACACTTCCTCTCTTCATGAAGCATGTCGTGTAGTCATAATAAACCCTGCAGAAATGATCAGTATGAAGAAAAAAGGGCAGCACGGATGGAGTCATGAAACCCACCACACCTATGTGAGCACAGACAGTAATGCACTTGCCGTCACTCCCGATGATCACTTCAAGGTCATGGAGCTCCACAGCTTACTGCCTTCCTGGTAACCCAGGATCAGACATTCTCTTTGAGAGAATGACTTGTATTTTATAATTTCTAATGGTTTTAATGCTCCCCAAATATTGACTAGTTAATAAACTAGAAACCAATAATGGGAATGATATTATATGTACTATAACTTTATCTTAAGAATCACCAGTACTTACATACTTTTCACTAACTTTCCTTATTACAAGTATTTTCGTTGGGCTCTAAGTACCAACGGCGAGGAAAAATAACTTGCCCGTGGTGATAGATGAGTGAAAATCGGGAGGCAGATATTCAATTTAAATTTCTCAATCCGAACTGCAGCTGAAAATTCTCTCTCAGAGGACTTTTATTTCTAAAATAACAGAAAAGATTTGGGAAGGAAAGAAAATCTTCAACTGACCTCCTTTTCTAGGGCAAAAAGAGCTACAAGTAAGAGCAAAAAGGAGATGACTGTAACAAGCAAGGAGGGCTTGTTTGAAAAAGCAAAGGAGGGCAATACGCAAAATGTTGTAAAGGAGGATGGGAAACCTGCTATGACTAACCTAGAACCTCCCAAGGTCTTCACACATAATTAAGAACTTTAGCATTTTGCCTTTTCCTTCAAAAGTGTGGCCTAAACGTTTGTTAATTGTGTTTAAGGAAGGGGGACAGTTTGGGAGTTATTCTATTATTTTTAGGATTAGAATTACAATTAAAGGGGATTCCAAACTAGTATATTTTCTTTCTTTTTTTTTAGCTAAGCCATCCTGCCACCTGTTGGCAGCTCAGCTTGGGCCAGGAATCAAACCGCTGTTGCTCAGAGCTCACACACTTGAGCGAGCGCTTAACCAACTGAGCCACTCGGCCGGGCCCATTTTCCTTGGTTTTAATTTATGCTAAGAGTGCTTCAGAGCAAAAGGCCAGTGTCCTTTATTCCTTTTGGGGGTAAGGAGAGGTGTAACTAGATAACTAAACTAATGATAACTCTGAGGCTTGTCTTGCGTCACCCAGTCTTCGCTAGTTACTTTCTTTCAGCTGTCACTAATCACATTCAACTCTCATCCCAGGAACCTCGCACATCAAGGTGAACATAACGGCATCTAGTGTCACCTTCTGGGTTCCAATAATATTTAGAACTTTAGTCTTCATTTGTTGCTTTCTTTTGTATTACCATAAACCCATCAGCTATGACAAAAATATTTATAGCTTCAACTTTTCTAGAAAGAGCATCCAGTGATTTGAATTCTAGAAAACAGTCACAAAGTAGCCGACTCAGCAACAAGGAAATTTCCTGTAAGCCCTACCCAGTAGGAACTTTTTTTTTTTTTTTTAAGCTGAGCCATTCTGCTACCTGTTGGCAGCTCAGCGGCTGCTCAGCTCGGGCTGAGACTCGAACTGCTGTTGCTCAGAGCTCAAACTCTTGAACGAGCTCTTAACCAACTGAGCCACTCGGCCGGCCCAGTAGGAACTTTTGACTATGCAGAATTCCCACCCTGACTCCCAACTTGACTTCTGAAGAGAAAGCTCTAAGCCAGCGGTTCTCAACCTGTGGGTCGCGACCCCTTTGGGGGTCCAACGACCCTTTCACAGGGGTCGCCTAAGACCATCGGAAAACAAAAAGATATTTACATTACGATTCATAACAGTAGCAAAATTAAAGTTATAGAGTAGCAATGAAAATAATTTTATGGTTGGGGGTCACCACAACATGAGGAACTGTATTAAGGGGTCGTGGCATTAGGAAGGTTGAGAACTGCTGCTCTAAGCTATTGAGAAACTGAGACTGCAGATTCTTTAAAACAAAACAAAAAACCTGGGCACAATGAAAAGCAACCCACAAAATCATCCATTTTCTAGGGCTTACAATTTCAAATGCAGTCCCTGAACCATTGGCATCTGTAACACCCAGAAGCTTGCTAGCGATGCAGAATCACCCCGTACCCCAGACCCACTGACCGGCATTTTATCCCGCCCCCAAGGAGACGCAAATGCACACTGAAGTGTGAGAAGCACTGCTCCAGGGCACTGCCCATTTCCTCCATCGTTTCTAAAACTGGCTTCGGAATAATTATCTGGAGGGACTATAATGTTTCTAAATAAAAATAAGCCTTAAAGGCTTTAAATAAACAATAAAATTAAAAACAAACAGTATTTGGAGTTAAATAAATTATATAAAATGCAGCAGTCTTAAAGCATCCTAGTTGATTGAAGCACCACTGCCAAGGCAATGCTTAATTAATGCCTAATCACAGGACACTTTAAACTGGAAAACTCGATTCCGTTCTTTGGATCTTTTAAGAACTTCCCAAGGCAGCGGCCCAGACAACACATGCCTTCTGTGTAATTCTACTTTAGAATTTAAGATTATGAGGAGATCCCAAGGAAGAACCACTCTGAATTAAAAAGAAGGCCTGGTCTTCTCTGCCACGAACATTTATGATGTCATCAGTTCCTTACCATATTACGAGATGCTTACTGAATAAAATGATCTCTCTCCATCACACAAACACACACACACATATACACACACGAAATGTGGCGTACCACAATGAAAAGGGAAGTGACTAGAAGGAAGGACTCTAACATCACAGATGGGATCATCTACTAAAGAACACCCAAGGAAAAAAGTACCATAGCCAAGTTTTTGATTCTACATAATTTTTTTAACAATCCTGGATGTTCCATGAGATTGAATCCAAACTACCACTTACACAAGCAAATATAAGTAGACAAACACATACTCGGTAACTATAAAACTTCCTATCCCCATGTTAAACCTTCTTCTGAATGTGAAAACAATTCCTCAAACAAAAAATTAACACAAAAATATAGTTTAATCTAGGTCACTGTTGCCCTAAAATAATATAATGACATTAAGCCACCATGTCACCACTGATTAAATTCTACCATATTAAAATAAATTACCTATAATATGGTAGTGAATTTAAAGAAATTCAAATTACCTATAATATGGTAGTGAATTTAAAGAAATTCGCCATTTTTAGTAACTACAGACAAATCTGTTACTCTGTGGTTTGCATCCGCTGTCACTCTCTTGAGGATGTCACATGGTGGTTATCCACAGGGAAACAGCACTACTAATACTGCCCCCCTACCTATACAGGCTAGTGAGGTTACAAGAGCAGATGAAGATAAACAAAGGAGAGCCATGAGCTCCTTAGGCAACACCCCTAGATTTAAAATAACGTAGATAATCACTTCAAAGTGGCATAATGGGCATGCAACTGTGGAGGAAAATGTATAAGAAAAAAATGCTCATGAAAGACCTCATACACATATTAAATATATAACATCAACCACAAAAGAAACCAGACTCACGTGAGGGGAATAGCGTTTGTTTTTGATTGTCTTCTGCTTTTCAGGGCCCGAAGTCTATCACCTTGGGTCACTCCACTGATTTCGTCATCATCACTGTACTATACAAGTAGAAAAACACTGAGATAATGATTTAAGTTGCACTTATTAATGCAGTAAAGCATAGTAGCTACATTTATCCAGACACATGCAAACATATACTTCAACTTTCTGCTGAACTCTAAAAAGATTCTGCTTTCAAAATAAAGCTACAGGTCACATGTCAAGAGAACCAAACATTGACTTTCACAGACACGGAACCCAAATAGCACTCTGGTTATAAAAAGTATTGACAGTGAAGAGACATAATGGGTTTTCAATATTGAAAACATTCTTTTAAAAATTTCACCATCTACTTACCACCACTTAATACAGTACAGGTACCCCCTAAACTCTTAGTTCTATAAAGGTCTCCACTTAAGAACACTGGTTCCCTAAATCAGCTGTCATGAAATGGGAAGGTAGGGGTGGGGGATGTGACACTAGGTCCACTACCGAGCTTACTTCACATACCTCTTTCTTACACCAGTGTCTAACGAGTAAAAAAAAACAAAAACGCAAAACTTCAGTTTTATGGACACATAACCTTGTTTTAACTATTTCAAGTAAAAGGTTCCTAGAGAGGGCTGTAAGTATAAAAAATGTCTGATGATAATCCCTCAAAATGTGCTTTATTATTTTTATCTACAATTTTCTCCATGCCCTAAGAGGTTCTCAGCAGCATTTAAAGCAGTAACAACAGCGTGATGAAGGTGGTTCAATTACCAGTTCAGGCTCTTGCTTGTCTTGATTCTCGACCCCATTGATTGAAATGTCGTCAACAGCCAAGAGGAGTTTTGAGACAGCTGCTCTGTGTTTTCCATTCTCCTGACCCCGTAGCTTTTGACGAAAATAGTCACCTTCCAACCAGAGGCTTGCCTGTTTCCTGTTAAAGCATTTAAATAACATCAAAATACACCTTGCCAGAAAGATAGTATTTATTGTTACTGGAGACTAAGAAAAATTCTACTCCTAATCATTTTCCAGACCCAAGTGTCCCCTGAGGAATTATAAAAGCTCTCCATCTACTTACATTACCAGGAATTGTTGCTGAGGCCCAATCACAGAGCCAGGTCGACAGATTCGGATCCAAGCAATGGTCTCAGCTGCGGCCATCCTGTAATGCTTCATGATGTAGCAGGCTATCAGAGTGCCCGTTCGTCCAAGGCCAGCTTGGAGAAGAAACAAACTCATGAGACTTGGTCTCATAGACCCCAGAATTTTGTTGGGCGGGTACATTTTTTAAAAGGTTTGCCACAATTCAGCTGCCCTCAACAGGTTCTCAAGTTCGAATACACACTGCACTCATCTGCAGTTTTAAAAAACACTGAGCCTCACCTCCAGAATTCTGATTGAACTCGTGGGTGATGCAGCCTGGATACAGATTTCTAAAATCCCCCAGATGATTCTACGTACAGCCAAGATTAGAAATCACTTCCTAAGCCCCAATTCTCACAGTGCAGTGTTTTCTACTCGGTTTTCTGTTAATGGTACAATCATGTTACCAAAACCAAAGGCTTAAAATCTTGCAAACTGTTCTCCCTCATCCATAACAGTTTTTCTCTACTTTCCTTTTATACCTGCTTTCACATTGTTTTATAACTCTACTCCTGCTATCCTCCTTTACTCTCATCTAGACTACTATTATTATTTCCTGTGGTGGTTGATTCTATGTGTCAGCCTGGCAGGTGTATTTGGGTGAGACTGGTGGACTTTGGGTAAGAGGATTACCCGTCATGATGGAGTGGGCCTCATTCAGTAAGTTGAAGGTCTGAACAAAAGAAAAAGACTGGCCAGCCCAAGCTAGAGGGAATTCTCCGGCAGACTGCCTTGAGGCTTCAATGGTACCACGGGCTCTTCTGGGTCTCCAGCCTGCCAGCCCACAGTGCAGACTTAGTACTCACCGGCCTCCATATCTGTGAGCCAATTCCTTATAAATCTCCTTCTCTATATAAAACACATCCTATTGGTTCTGGTTCCCTAGGAAACCCTCACTAATACAGATTTTGGCACCGTGAAGTGGCATGCTACTGGAACAATTCGTAAAAATGCAGAAGTGACATTGGAACTGGAATTTTAAAGGCTCCATGTTAGAAAAAAACCTAGATTGCCTTGAAGGGATTGTTGGCAGGAATATGGATGTTAACACTGACTCTGGCGCAGACGCAGATGGAAACGAGGAACATGTTATCGGAAACTGGAAGAAAGGCAATCCTTGTTAGAAAGTGGCAAAAAACAAAACAAAACAAAACAAAAACCCTGGCTGAATTGTTCTTTGTGGAAAGCAAAACTTCTGGGTGACAGGGCTGGCCAAGTGGCTCAGTTGGTTAAGAGTTGGCTTAAGAGCGTGAGCTCTGAGCAACAGGGCCACCAGTTCGATTCCCACATGGGCCAGTAACGCTGCGCCCAAACTGAGCTGTTGCTGAGCTGCCAACAGGTGGCAGGATGGCTCAGCTTAAAAAAAAAAAAAGAACAACTTGTGGGTGACAACCATGGGTATTCAGCTAAGGAGATCTGTAAGCAAAGAGTGGAAGGTGCATCCTGGTTTCTCCATGATGATTACAGTAAACTATCAGAGGCAAGAGATGAATTGAAGAAGGAATTTTTAACCAAAAAGGAACTAGAAACCAAACATTTTGAAAATTCTAGTCCTTTCCATATTGCAAAAAAATGAGAAAGCATGTTCTGAAGACAACCAAGGGTGTGGTTGGACAAGCAATTTCATGAAGATATTACCCATAGACTTAATCCACAGAAGCCAGAAATAGTGATGGGATTCACTGGCAGAAACAGTCCATTTGGACTAAAAGGGGACAGGCAGCCACAGGACAAGAAAAAGGCTTTCAGGTTTTTGGGCTAACAGGACTGGACAACCAAGGTTCCTGGCTGCAAACATGTCTCATCCTTCAAGAAAGGGGGAGCATGACCTTGAGGGTGATGCAGAGACCACAAGGCTGCTGCTGCCACCACCACCACCACCACCACCACCACCACCACTGGCCCATGGGGCGGGGCTGTCTATTACTAGATTTCAGAGGGGGGGGCTGCCTCCGTGGCTTCAGTGGACCAGGCCACCACAGTCCATAACCTCAGGGGCAGGGCTGCCACCTGGGGCCAAGGAGATGGGACTGCCTCCCCAGTAGGCCCGCAGAACAGACAATGGAACCAAAGAGCATGATTCTTGAGCCTGGAGGTCTAATGGCATTTGCCTTGCTAGGTTTTGGACTTGCTTAGGACCTATCATCTGTTTCTTCTTTCCAACTGCTCCTATTTGAGATGGAATGTCTATCCTATGCCTGTCCCACTATTGTATTTTGGAACCAAATAACTTTGCTTTCACAGGTTCACAGCTAGGGAGGAATACTGCCTCAGGATGAATTGTACCTGAAGTGTCACCACATCTGATTGAGACTTTAGACTTGGAACTGATGCTGGAACAGGTTAAGACTCTGGGGCTGTTGGGATGGGGCAAATGTATTTTACATGTGAGGACAAGAATACTGGGCAGCCAGAGTGCAGAATGTTATGGACTGAATTCTGTCCCCCTAAATCCGCATGTTGAAGTGCTATCTCCCAACATGACAGTCTCTGGTAAAAGGACGTTATGGAGGTAATTAAGGTAAAGTGTGTTTGAGTGGGGGGACGGGACGGGACACTTAATCCAATAGGACTTGTGCTCTTATAAAAAGAGGAAGAGACACCAGAACTCTGTATACACAAAAGACAAGGACGAAGCGGTTGTCTGCAAGCCAAGAGGCGGCCTCACCAGACACCAACCCGCCAGCACCTGGTTTTGGAACCCTAGCCTCCAGAACTGTTGAGAAAATACATTTCTGTTGTTTAAGCCACACAGTTTACGGTACTGTTAGGGTACCCCAAGCAAATTAATACACTTCCTAATGAATCTCATTTTTCATTTGATAATCCTATCTTCACACTGTCATCAGTTTTCTTCCCCCAAAAAAAGATCTAATCATATTAAATCCTCTTCAAGTTTTTAACTGGTTATCGGTCAACTTCAGGGTTTTTCCACCTCAGCACTATTGACATCTGGGGCAGGGTAATTCTTTGTTGTGGGTGCCGTCCTGGCCATTTTAGGATGTTCATGAGCATCCCTGGCCTCCAGATACTACTAGCACCTCCCCTCCCAAACTGTGAAAAACAAAAATGCCTTCAGATGTTGCCAAATGTGTAAAACCACCCCAAATGAGCACCTCAGGTTACTGAGAATTGCCTCAATCGCTTGTAATTTTTAAAGAAATGAAATAATCAATGTTGGATTTTAATTATTCACTATTTTAAGTTGTAACAAAATATATAAAATTTTTCATTTTAACCATTTTTGTTCATGCATCATTTTCCTGATTTCATTAACTTCTCTGTTTTCTTTTAGCTCACTGAACATTTTTAAGGCAGCCTTTTAAAATTCTTTGTCAGGCAATCCAAAGACCTACATTTCTTTAGGACCAGTTTCTGGACATCATTTTAACCACTTTTTTTTTTTAAAGATTTTTTTTACTGGGGAGTTGGGGGAGGG